ACTGTCGGTAATTCTGATGGTAACTTACCATCAGATCTCGGTCGGTAAGGTAAAGGTAGAGCACTACTATTACCAATTTCGCCGTAGCCATGTTACTAGAATTTCAATATATTTGAAACTTTCTTATTTCCTAGTAACTTTTAATAACTAGTAGTGTACACATAGTGAATGTGTAATTAAATTTTATATACATTTAAAAACAAACAACAATTAGAAATCTATAAATATAAGTGGAGTTACTCTGTAAGAAGTAAACCCCAAAAACGATATAGTGAATGGACATTTTGACAAGATAATATAATTGTAAAATCATTCTTAATATTGCATTATTATCAAATGTTGTTAATTATATTTTTTAATTTCGTATCTAAATAAACCTTTACATTTACTATTAAAATGAAGGAATTCATTATGATTAAAATGTATATCAATTATATGTGAACATGAGTTCCCTAGTTTTTCACTATACACATAACTTCGATAAGTTAAGGCAATTTTATGTAGATTCTACAATTTATTATCAATGCATTTTCATGACCTTCCTCTGATAAGTGCATAAGACAACAAATAATGCGTTTATATACTTCTTCATGACATTTAATTTATTAATATTCATGTTCATCGACGTACGATTATATTAAATATTTGATAACAAAATTTTGTGATAAACAAAAAAGAATTGTGCAATGTGTATGCAAGTAAATATGTCAACTTAACCTTTTGAATTTTTTTTAATTATATTTAATCGAAGGTTTACAAATTCTATTTATACAACAACACAAAAGTAAGATTAAACAATTTACTATAAATCTTTAATATATATTTAGTTAAATGATCTCCATTTTGTTCAAATTTATAAATATAAACTGCTATAAATAACTAAAGCAGAATGCTACATCTCACGCTTACCTTTGTTTGATCATGTTATCTTATTTGAAATTGTGTTCAAAGATACAATTTTTTTGTTACTCGCATAGTAACATCTAATCTATTTGTACATTCTGCAAGTTTTCTTTTTATCAGTTAACCGATATAATTAATACAGTCCTTAGAATTAAACTTGATTTATCTCTAATATTTTATTTTTTAGGAAATCACAAATACTTTTATAAAGAAATATTTACATATTTTTTAATGGACTGGCTCAAGAAAATATATACCAAAAAGTATTATTTCAATTAACAATATAAAGATATATCTAAGAGTTTATTAATATTAACCTTAATTTTTTAATACAAATATTTAATTCATTTTTTCAGACAATCCATTAATACACTTAGAGATGACTTAGAAACAATCAAGGAACAGAAAGAACGATGGAGAAGTATATACGTTATTTATTTCACTATGTTTCTTATGTCTCTTGGATTTAGTATAATTCTAACCGGAGTCTGGCCATATTTAGATAAGGTATATTTAATATAAAATAACAAAGATTCAATTAAACATAAAAGTATATTGATTACTTTAAACTTTTATTACAGTTGGATAGTTCAGCAGGAAAAGAATATATGGGATATGTAGTAGCGGCTAATCCTTTAGGTCAAATGTTATTCTCTCCGTTACTTGGTTGGTGGGGTAACAAAAGAGGATCTGTAAGACTGCCACTTTTAGTTACATTACTTCTTTTTATCTATGCGTCCGCAATGTACAGTGTCCTAGAAATTTTACCAGGTGATAGAAAGGCTCTTATGGCTAGTGCCAGATTCCTCGTTGGAGTTAGTTCTGGTTAATGAATATTCAACTATTTAATTTATCAATTATCTATCTATTTTGTGTCATCTATTAATACACTTGAATCAAAATATATAATGAACAACAAAACAATAGGATTGTAATGTATTAAAATTCTGTTTATATATACTACTTTCATTATTTTAATTCAAGTCATAGCAACAAGTGCAAACGTTAATAGGTTTTTAATTAATTTTATTTTTTTTATATTATTTTCAGCTAATATCGCGGTAGCTAGATCATATTTATCCGCAGCTACAAAACTTGCTGAAAGAACTAAGGCGGTTTCAATGATTACACTTGCACAGGTGATATTCTTGTATAGCACACAAGCACGCATGCTAAATAATTCTCTTTATTTCTAAGCATAATAATATTTATGCAATGAAGACTTATTATCTATTAAAATTTTAGGTTTTAGGATTTATAGTAGGACCTGGCTTACAAGCTGCTGTTACTCCTCTTGGTGATAAAACTATATATTTTTTAGGTTTACCTTTAAATATGTATACAATGACTGGTTGGATAAACGTTATTATGGGAATTATTAATTTCATTCTATTTTTACCATGGAACTTTAAAGAGCATAAAATTGCTATCAGAGAAGCTATGCGCAATGGTGGAAAAACTACTGGTACTAAAAACAATATTAATTTTTTACTTTTTTTAAATTCTTATTTGCCTGTTTATTCATTTTTATTATTAAATTATTCATTTTTATTATTAAATATTATTATATATTGCAGAAAAAGAAACATGGAAAGCAATAAAGCCTGATTATTTAGCAGCTTGGACTTTAATTTGTGCTTTTTTTGTTTTGGTTTTTAATTTTGTCCTCTTAGAAACGTGAGAAAATATTTATGATCTCTTCACAGATATATATTATATATTTAATTATTTAAATCTTTATTATTGATATTTATATTTGTATTTGTATTATTCAGATTAGGTACTCCTCTTACGATGGATCAATTTGCTTGGTCTAAAACTGAATCTTTATATTATTTGGGATTGTTAATGAGTATTGGTGGTGTAATAGCGTGTATTACGTTTGCAATGATTGGACCTATTTGTAAAAGGTAAATTAATATTTCACAATATAAAATAAACATAAATTTATTTCTACTTTAAACTACACTTTTTTTTTATAGAATTGCTGAAAGAAAATTAATGTTATGGGGTGGTTTTCTATTTATGGTTATTGGACGATTATTTTGTATTCCATGGGGACCTGATCCTCCAAAAATAGCTTACTTTGGAGGTATAATTTTTAATTAAATATATTAATTATTATTATTATATTAACTTCAAATTATATCTTATATAGCTTCTACAAATTATTTAATATTTTTTTTTTTTAGTCTTTAACAATATTACTATGGATGAAAATGGTACAGAAATATTAGGATGCCATAATACTCAAGAATGGTGCAAATATACCCCGCAATTAACTATAACCCAATTTATTATCGGATATAGTTTCACTAGTGTAGGCTATCCTATAGGAGTTACATTAATACAAACAATATTTAGTAAAATTCTTGGTCCACGACCACAAGGTGTTTGGATGGGATTAATGACAGGTGCTGGATGTGCTTCTAGGGTTTTAGGACCAGTATTTGTTAGTGTGATTTACACACGTTTTGGAACATATCATACTTTTGGTGTTACTGGACTAATGTTAATAGCTTCGATGGTATGGTTACAGATAGTTAATAAACGTTTAATACCACCAATTATAGTTAATAAAAATAACATAGGAGAAGAACAGAAACAAGATATTACAATACCTTTAGTTCAAGTTAAATCTGATAATGAGGAAATAAATCAAATAAATAAATCTAATACTGTGATAAATTATGACAAAACGTAAATATTCTTATGAGAAAGTTGAAATTTACCTTTTTTTGATATCATATTATTATCCATAATAATAATATGAATACTATTCATTTTATTTATATTTACTTTCTCATTTAAAAAAAAACATTAGAAAATAAAATTGATATTCGAGTCTTCAATAGTATTAACAAACATTTTACTTGCATTCTGTTATATGAATGAAAATTCAACTATCGTCACAAATTATACGTAAATAATGATATTACTATAAATGATATTACAATGACATAAAAGATGCAATAAATTTTGATGCCTATTTACATTTTTTTATCATATGATAGAGTTTATAGACAAAAAAAAATATATATACATATATAATAAATATGAAAAACTATCTGTATATAACCATAGATATAATTTTTCAAAGCGTATAAACTAATCTCTCTTTGTATACTTTGTCTCTCATTTTAGAAATATTTAAATCGAGCATTATTACCAAATTATCTAATTATATTATAGTATACTATAACTGATGATACAAGCGAGCAGGGAGTGATTCTACATGAAAAACTAAGTCGAATACGTAGAATGAAATTTGTTTATATAAAACTTTGTTTTTGAGAAAAATAATTTTGAAATATTGTTGAGTATATTCTTGCCAAAAAATTAAATTTTAATGTACTTATATTAACTCTAATGTGATACTTGAATATGCAACTCAAAAGATGTGTATTTTGATAAAAAGTATAAAAAGATATAACTTTTATATATATACAAATTATAATAATTAATGTTATTTTTAGTGGCAATGCAATTTATACGAAATAATTTGTTATATATATATTAAAAGATAATATTGTTGATGTTGAAATATATTATTTACATGGAACATATTGCATTACTATAAGATATATACCGTGTACAAATTTTTATTGTGAAAAAAATAATTTTTACATGAATAATATTTTTAGAAAAATTCATTTATATTATATATAAAAATTATATATTAAAGAATAAAACTTGTTATATATATATAGAGAGACATATATATAAAAGCAATACATTATTTTAAATAAAAAAAATGGTTGAACAAAAACAAAACGTGATTAGTTACTTCTATTTTTTCTATTGTGTGCAACAGTGTTTATATTAATGTAACTTTTCAAATACAAAAAGTATATTTTTGTTACATTTTATTACATTTAGAGATTCCTTCCAAAATCAAAAACTTTATAAATTAATATATATAAATAATATTAAATAATACTTTTTTTTAATTCCTTCATTATTTAATTTATATAATTATAAGATTTTATGATATATCTATTGGTTTTTTAACAACATTATAAAATGAACAATAGAATATTATAAAATATTTTCAAACAAATTTCGATATATCAATGACATTTGATTTCGAGATAAAATAAAATTATATTAATCATATCAGATTTATGACACTTTCTAATCCATTTATTTTTAAAAAGTAAAAAATTAAAGCACACATGCATCTTATAAATAAAATATACAACTATAATTAATCTTTCTTCTTTGGTTTTTTCGGATTACGTGATCGAGATTTAGCTTTACAAAGAGGACAGATCGGTGCATTTCTATGGATTTGTTGATGACATGAGAGGCATGACTTCATTGGTGGTGGTTGTTGCCTAAAATAAAATCACAGTAAATATAATGATTAAAAATTAAATTAATTACACGGTGTAAATGTAAACGTGTGTATAGATATGTAAATATATTATAGATTAAATTGGAGATATACCAGTGGTACCTGAATGTTGGAGCAGGTGGGCCAGGAGCAGGGGGCAATGGTCTAGGCTCTGGCTTACTAGGTCCTTGAAGAGGCTGAGGAGCAAGAAAGGAAGCTGAACCACCTGGATGCCCAGGATGATGTAAACTGTGTGGAGGTAATAAATCTTCGCCACGAACTTCTACTCTCCATTCTGCTTTTTGCATCGGTCTTTCAAAATAACTGGAAATAAACCGTCTGCACGATAAAAAATTTAATTTATCTAATTTACTCTGAACAACACAAATGTTTAGAAATTGATGAATATTACCTATATATGTGTGAACATATATCAATTATTATTCTTATCATCGATAAATAACAAAACTATACTTACTCAGGAGAAATAAGATCCGACTCTGTTTCATATAATTCTGGTAATCTTTCTAAACCTAATACTTCTCTACGCATTCTATCGATATCATGTTTTAACGGTTGATAATTACTATTATGTATAAGTTTGGCAGTTTCCCGTGATCTGTTTCTTGCTTTTTCTGCTTGGTGTATCACTGATTCCATCTACGATAATATGAAATATATTTGATGGTTTATAAGAGATATAAAAATATTTATCTTTTATAAAAGAGATTAGTTACAATATTTAAAGAACTTCTACAATAATTCTTTGTTTTTTACCACATTAATGTCTGCGTGTATTTGGCGCAATTCCTCAACATGTGCCATTTTTTCTTGCATAAGTAAATCCATTTCTTGTTTATATTCTAATAAACATTTTTCCTCATGCTCTGTTTGTTCGACTTCTTGCAAGATTCTTTGCTTTAGTTTTTCCAGTTGTACAGTTTTAGCTCTAAGAGTTTAGACAATTTATATATATAAAAATAATTAAGTAATACATTAATTTATCAAAGCATATTCTATTTGCATTTATTTTCTTGTTTGTTGATTATCACATAGTTAAAAAAAATAGGAAATATATAAATATAGAAAAGTTCAAACCTGATTTCTTTAAGAGCCTCCAGTTTAGCAAAAATAACAGTGGTATCAGAAACTGACATTGTAAAAGTTAACAATAAGTTCTTATTTGTTATAATGGGCGTACACGAATTTACACTAATGCCTCCCCTTTGTTCCAAATAACATATATGGCAGGAGATTATAAAAAAAAAAGAATTTTATTCAAGACAAACAATAGTATTTCGATTTAATAATAAATTATATTAGGTCATTTACAAACTATATATTAATTGTAAATTAACATAATTATATGGACATATATATATATATAGAACAATAATACAAATTAAAAAGAATTCTTTAAAGGAAGGGTCGGTTTCATGTTGTTTATAGCTTATTACAGTTTACTAGAGATTTAAACGTTCAGATGGCACTGTAGTACAAAATAACGCTTATTATGCTAAAATTATTCAAAAAAAAAAAGAAGGAGTACCAATCACTTATATGTATTTTCACAGATTCAGGAAAAAAATTATTTCTTTTTGATATGCAGCTTTTTTAAGATTTTAAAATAAAATAATAATTCTATATACAAATTCTTCTGTATTCTTAATATTATCCTTTAGATTATTTAACTTCCACAATCTATTCATTACTATATATTAAATAATATTTCCTTCCTATGTCTCTTTATTCTATTCTTTTTTAAAACTTATTATTTAATACCAAAATGAGATATTAATATTTTGTCCATGTCACACATATATAATATACACGGATATATATATAATTTTTTATTTTATTGTAATTATTAATAAAAATGATTTTGTTATCAACAATCGCATTTACAGAAAGTTAAATACATTGGATGAGTTATATGCACTTTCAATTCTCAATTAATATGTTTATGGTTCATAAGGAAGAGACTTCAATGCATGTAGTAGTACAGTTGTTAAGTATATATTATATGTTGAAACTAAGAAGTGACATTAAATTTAAAAAGCTGGGAAGCATACATTTGCTTCTCAACACTTTTACAATAATTTATTGAAGATCGTATACACGTAAAATATTATTAACACGGAATCGTTGATAACGAAACGAAAATTATTAATAAAAAATGGTTGTTACTGAAAAAGTTAAATTACCCGATGATTCTGAGTTGGCTAGTCCAGAATTAAATGTCCCATATCCTGTCTTACAAGCAGCTTCTTTTTACATGGGTAAAAAGTGTGAATGGGAAAGAAATGTAGGTGATTTTTTAATTATATTTCGTATTATACTTATAATGTTAGAAGTTATGTAACATTTTTACCTCTTTGATAACCTCAAAAAATATTTTTCCTCTTTGAACATAATCAACATGGAAGAAAAATATTAAAATTAAAAATATTATTTTTATTTAAAAAGAGATTTTATAAAATTTTATCCCTGTTAACAATAATTTTTGTTTCTTGTTTAGGAGTTCATGTTATGCAAAGAAGAAGAAAAAGATGCACGAGTTTGTTTAAAAGAAGGTAAAGCTTTAACGGCTTGTGGTCTGGAATTTTTTAAACAACTAAAGAAAAATTGCAGAGAAGATTTTGAACAATATGTTACTTGTTTAGAAAGATCATCAGGAACGATGGAGTTTTCAGAGTAAGAAGTTTGTTAAATTATAAGCATAAAGTTATACGTGATTAAAAATAATTATTCTGTCATAGGTGTCGAAAAACTCAAGAAGTTGTCGATAAATGCATACTGGATAAACTCAATATTGAACGACCTGCTTTTGGATACTTTTGCGAAACTAAAATACATGATTCTCAAAGACCAAAACCAAAATACCAGCCTGTTGAATTTCCAGATGCATTACCACCATTGCCAGAAGGAAAACCTGAACATTCTGCTAAATTTGGTAACAGGTCCTACTTTTCTTAAATTATTTATTATTTAGTAAAGTCAACATTTTAGAAGTTGTATTAATCCTATTTAACATTACATAACATTACAATAATATACAATTGTTATTTGTACATTGTTGTATTATTATATGGAAACTTTAGTAGACGAATAAATTTCATTAAGTGAAGGCATTTTATTCATTTAATATATATATATATGAGAAAACAATAAAAGTATGTAGTATTTGTAAAGTAAGTTTATTTTTCAAATAATATATAGTAAAATTAAACTTCGACTAGACATTAACATAATAATTAACAAAAAATTATTCTATACATTAAAATTTTGAATATATTAACACCAATAATAGAAATTTTAATCAATATAAATTACCCTTCTTTCTATTTTATATTTCGACGTCCTAAGTAATATAAGCATAAGAAATTAAAGGAAAAACAACACCTGTATTTTATTGTAAATAGAAATTAAATTATGTCGGCCTGTACACATGGCATAAATGCATAAAACTTGTTGCCGATAAAAGAAATATCCACATAATTGATATTTAAGATACAATACAATTGTATTTACAATGTACATATAGTTAGAGTTAATTAATTTATATATGTACATATAAACGGTGGGTATGACGTTTGAGGCACTCAGCATTTCTCTTTCTCTAAATTTAACTAGTTTTTTCATCATAAAGCATCATGAAATGAACAGTAGTTTCAGACTTCATAAGAGAAACGATGTGCACGCATTGGAAGCTCTGCTCTTGCTGTTTATTTAATAAGTATTTGGTATTATAGACTTATTGTTAATCCCTTGTTACTCATATGTTCATTCAGTCTATTAAATGATAAGGATAGATCCTTATGATATTTGTAGAATCTACAAATCATAATGATCTATTATGTGTTAGCTCCATGTAATATCATAACCGCTCCAATTTGTAGCTGGTGCCAAATGAACTCTTCTACCATTGTAGAAAAATGTAACAACACCTCGATATCCAGTTCTAGGTACGCCACTCTGAAATATTCCAAGTAAATTAGAACGTAATTTTCAACAGTAATTTATCATATAACTTGTTTTCTTATTACCTTAAAATCATCCATTAAACCAAGCATTTTTGCAGTATTTTTATACGAGAGTCGTGTGTAATACAATATTCTAACAGGACTTGGTGTTGTTGCGTGTCCACTTTTTAATTCTGAATAAGTAATTACCTTAGAGTGGTGTACTTCATTCATAAAAGATACATCATAATTATCCTATATAAAAGAGATAATAATTTTATAAAATTTTATAAAAGTAATCCCTGCAATTATATTTTTATCTATAAAACAAAACAAAAAAACAAAAAGAATAAAAAAATGTATTATTTATTGTTTATCGAAGGAGAGAAAAAATAAATTTGTTTATAATAAATTATTTCTTACTTTCAGCAAGTAGTTTAAATTCATCTTTGTAAAAGGCACAGGTTTTTCGTTCAGCTTGATAAATTTCAAATGTTTTTCAAAGAATAATCCACTATAAAATTAAAATATTTAAAAATATTAATACGTAGAAAATTATTATAAAATAATAATTGCTATTTCTTGAATGTAAGGAGGAAAATAATTAACGTACTTGCTAACTCCAATTTTTCCAAAAGTTCTTGTTCTTGATATTTCTGGCCGAATGCAGGCTCTATTTTTCCGTTGTTCTGGTTGTCTTATCCAGTCATCCCAATACCTGTAATATAAATGAAATGTAGTTTGCAAAAATAATTCTGATATTTACATGCTAATAAACATATCTCTAATCTAATCGAATATTTTTTCTAATTTGTTCTAATTTGTTCTATGTACATTATGTATATTTAGAACAAAAATCTTATTTTCTATTTACGTATATATAAACAGTTTGGAAGAAAAAGTTAATCGATAACGAGGAGTACTATCAACAAGCATATTTTGCTTACGATTTGGGCCATTTAGGTGCAAGCTCTTGCCATAACTGGCGAGTTAACATCCAGCCTAAACCAGGAAAAAAATCTGTCCTATATAGTAAGTGTGGTGCATGCTCATCCACCAAACCAGATTTACCATTATCGTTCCATGCCGAGACACACCACAAGGAACGATCAGATACTAGCAGAGGATAAGTACCCAAAAAGTACTCAAAAAAATCAGGAGCTATGTCCAAATCATCTAAACATTTGTTAATATAGATTAAGATACCTATACATTTTTTATTTATATTTATATATAAATATTAAACGGAAAGTACCTTCTACCACAATTGCTGTTTCATATCCGAGCTCAAAAAATACTTGATTTAACGCCCATCCATAATGACGTGCAATTTTAAAATATCCTTTGAATTTCTTCTCTTTAGGAGGAATGTCTATATCTGATTGGTCAGGTTGCTGAAAAACAAAAAAATTAAAAATTATATACCAGTTATACAGTATACTTTCATAATAATAAAATATTTTTTTACATAACTATGATATAAATTATAAAACTGTACCCGAATGTGCAGTATTTTATCTCCATATTTAGCAATAACTTCTGCGGTTTGCTCGTGTTCGCAATCTTGTGACACGACAATTGGAAATTGCATTGCACTAGGTCTTAATCTTATCAATTGATCCAAACATCTTTGAACTGTAATGCGATTGCATGAAAAGACTAGTACAGCTATTATTGGATCTCCGTTAGGCAAAGATTTTTTTGATTTCATTATTTCTTCTGACTGTAAGAACAAAATTCAATTAAGTTAATATAAGAAGATTAAATATTATTTAAAAAACAAATAAAACTTAATTATCAGGCGTAAGGGGATAAGGAACTATCACAAGTTGTACAAAGACCTTTGTAGAATGTTGAAAATTCTTAGAATCTGTTCGTTTCTCTGTATCAACATTTTTTTCAAAGACTTTAACATTAATATCATGTAATTGATTATTATTTGGAATGGTTATTTCTGGACGAGCGATAGACAATTTTTCTTTTAACTCTGAAAAAGAAAAAGAAATAAATTATATCCAAATATTATAAGAATTAAATGTTAACGTAAGTTAGGTTGTTCTATGTACTTACTTTTACGACTTTCCTCAAGATTTTGAAAAAATTCATTGTTTATTGCAATTTGATGTTTTAGTCTTTCTTCTAATTTGGTAATTTGTTTAGAAACTTTATATTGCTATTAACAAATAATATTATTATTAATTTCGTACACATAAAAATCCAATGTTTTACATTATTATATTAATTGAATCATTTCTCTTATGAATAAGTTGTAAATGTAAATTTATTTCAATTAATCTATTGCTATTAATTATTTTTATAATAGAGTTCTTATATTACATCAAATTATTCATTATTATAAAATACATAAATGATTGAATTACGAAAAGAAATACAACAATAAATAAATAAATTACCTTTCCTTGATCCTTGCCTGATGGTTGATCAAGAAATAAGAAATATGTAATCACACCCCATAAGACAAGAGATCCAAAAATAATACCAACTGACCTGTTCCGCATGGCAGAACTAGAAATGTCACCTCAACTGTAATAAATATTTTTAATAAAGTAAACAATTACTAATTAAAATAAGAAAATTCAGATTTTCTTTAAGACATTATATATTTTTTTTTTGTCATTATTACAACTCCCATAAATTATCAATTGCATATGATAATTCCATATTTTTCTAATATGTCATTTAATAGTAAGCAATAAATTAATTTAAAAAAATGCATATAAAACATATTAAATACAATTATAGGTTACTTACCATTCTTTTACCGAAGGACCTTTCTACGATCCCTTAAATAATCATGTATTAGTTGAATTGAAGTAATGTAATCATATTCGGTGTGGTGCATTGATACCAAATTTTTAATTTAATTTAATTATTTGATATTACTATATATGACAAATCTCCCAAGAGTAATGTACAAAATTTAGTTAGATAAACTTGACACGACTGTCAACGCAACGTCACGCGTACCGATAATCTTACATGCAATAGAAAATAAAAAAGAATTGTTTAGTGCGATTATCGATTGATTACGTTAAAATCGATTTCGGTCATTTCGAGTTTGAAATGTTTATCTATCGATATATATCGACTTACTAATCGACTTTTTAAATGTCGATAATTCGCGTGTGTTTAGATGCTTGATTTATATATTTATAAATTTGTCGGAATATTTTTTGATATGTTTATTAAATTTTTAATTATAAAAATAATGTGTAAAATTTCGTTTGAAAAATTATTAATTCTTTTTACTAAATAATACATTTAATGTGTTAATAGTAGTTGATTATAATCTTTACTTTAAAGTTCTGATTGTACTTAAATATACAGTTTTAAATATTTTTTAAATAATTTAAGTAATTGTTAAGAAATTATAATAACATAAATTACTATACCTTTAAGGAAATGATATCATTTTCTCTTTAAAATGATTTCAAAATTGTTATCTACCGATGTACTTGCTATACATTCTATGGACGATTATATATTTGTAGGTTAGTTAACATTAAACATCAATTTTTTTTAAACTTCTTTTTTTAAATTTTTTAATAAAATATTCGAATTTCATTACAATATTATTTACAGGTATAGGATGTATTTTACATATTTTCAAAAAACGTGATGTTTACGAATTAGAGTATAAGTTGAATTTTCATTCAAATAATATACATGGCATTGTTAAAGCATCTAATAATTGTATAATTTTATTTGGTGCCAAATGTTTGTGCATTTATGATATTGACAAAATTAAAAATACAATATTGTAAGTATTTATACATTGTTTTTATATTTTTACATTTTTTATGTTTTCAAGATTGTGATGATTTATTTTCCAGGATGAAGCAAAATGTCGAAACAATTTGGTTTAACGATTGGATAATAGCTGTTAAATGCTTAACCATTAATACACGAATATTATTAATTATTTTATTTGCACATAATAACGTATACGTATATGATATTTCTGACAAAAAATATCAGCAGACATGGTGTGAGGAAAAATGTATACTGTATCCTTAATATTACTTATTAAATTAAACTACGAAGCAGTTCGAAACATTTTTTCTTAATTTATGCATAGCTACGGTGGATCTATATCAGGTGAAACGATTAAGGATTTGATTATATTTAGTGGAACTGTATTTCAGGAGATATTAATATGGAAATTAAACTATGCAACTGATCATGATAAAAATGCAAAAGTATTGCACCGTTTAATTGGACACAAAGTTAGTATACAAATATTAATATTCATATAAATTTATTATATAAATTATATCAAGATTTATATATATTTATAATAATGATCAATATTTTTCTTATAATAATCTTTAGTAAATTTTTCAGGGAGTAATTTTTTCTGTCATTTATGATCCCATCACATCTTTTATCTGCTCTACATCTGATGACAGAACAGTTAGATTATGGAAAGTAATAGAAAACATATCAAATTCTTTAGCTTGTAAAAATGATATAGATTGGAAAAATGTTGAAGTCAAATTAGTAAAAACAATGTTTGGTCATGCTGCCAGAGTTTGGAGAGCAATTATCAGAAATGGCATTCTTTTTACTATAGGTGAGGTAAGTGCGTTCATTCAAATGATACAACGAAAAATATAAATATTAATATCATTATTATATATTTTAGGATTCGTTGATATGTATTTGGTCATTAAATGGCCTATTACTAAATAAACTATTCGCGCATCATGGAGCACCGATATGGAGTATTAATATTTCAGAAGATAATAAAACTATATTTACGGGTGGTGCTGATGGCGCAATACACATGTGGCCATTTATAAGTGCTCCGAACAATAATTTACAGATAATATCATCATTTAAAACATCTCACATTCCTAAATATGTATCTTATTTAAACAGTGGAACTTTATTAATATTTCACGAAGGAGGCATGTTAGCATGTTATGACGACGCATTGCATCTTAGAGAATCTTTGTATTTAGAAAGATATAGTTCTTATTGCATAATGCAAGTTTCGTCGTGTAGATGCTATATTAGCTTTGCATCAAGGAATGGATATATAACAATATACACAGGTACATGTTTGTATCTATATTTGTCTAACAATAATATAAATTAAATTTTATTATTATTCACATATATATATGTTCATACTTTCATATTATTATTATATTTGTTTTAGAAATAGACAAGGAAAACAAAAAATACTTGTATCAGATGTTAGAGGAAAAAGTAATGGAATCAAAAATATTCTCTTTGCAATGGTTGAAGGATGATAGAATGCTAGTTTGTGGAGAAAATGGTTCTTTACGAATACTTGCCATTACACCTAACAGTACGTACTACTAAATATTGGTTTATATAAAAACTATTATAGTTTATGTTAAATACAATTTTATTTAACAGATGAACTATATATTCATAGTGAATATACACTACCTCACTCTCGAGAATGTTGGATAACAGCAGCCATAATTTATCAAAATTTACTTGTTTGTGGAGATAGAGCAGGAAGTCTTCATATTTTTGAAATGCACGATCAGTCTTTAAACAAAGCAAATTTAAACAAAAATATCAGTAAACCAATACAAACTATTTATAAAGTTCACGGAAAAATAGGTGTTCAACTATGTGCTGTATTGAAAAAGAAATTGATAACAGCAGGACGAAATGGCATAATAAGATTTTATGATATTTTTATGATCGACAATAAGAGCTTCTTACGTACTTTGTATTGCATAAAAATGCCAATGGATTGGATTAGTAATGTATTAAATATTGGCGATGATGTTCTTATTACTGGATTTAAAGAAGTATATAATTATGTTTAATTTTATATAAAAAAAGAATACGTACAATAAATTAAAAGAACTTTTTGCAGGTTGAATTTATAATATACAGTTTGCATCATCAAAGAATAGCAGTAAAATATTCTTGTGGAGGTGGACACAGATCAGTGGATTGTCTGGTATTAAATGAAAATATTAAATTTGCATATATTAGAAATAAGCAAATTTATTTATCCAATCATCATTTAAATTCTCTCTTTTTATCTACTCCTACTATACTGGTATGTATTAAAAATACAGTGTAAGAATCGTAATCTATATTACAACACTTTTGCGTTATTTCAGAATGGTTCTCATGTCAAAGAAATTTACAATGTACAACCTATAATGAACTTGATCGATCAGAAACTTTATATATCTGGAGGTGAAGATTGTAAACTTCGTCTTACACATATTTATAAACCAGAATTAAAAAAAAAAGACTATACATTTCAAACATTAAGTATCATGGATGGACATATTTCAAGTATAAAGTCTATAGCTATTTTCAATTTAGAAAAGACAGAATTGACTAGCACATATTTAATTTTCTCATGCGGTGGCAGAGCTCAAATAAAATGTTGGCAAATGGATATTAGATGGGATGATGATGTGTTATCCAACGAAAGCGTTTCTTGCGTTGATTTAAATTCTCACATGTTATTTGGTCAAGATAAGAACCGTAGAAAACAATGGCAAAAAACAAAACAATCTTTTGCTATTGAACCTGAAACCCGTTATATGGATATTAAAGTCTATTGTCCTTCTTTGAAGTCAACTTATATATTTTTACTTATAGCCTGTGCTGATGGATATTTAAGGTGACGTATACATAACGATAAAAATGTTCTATTTTATTACATAATACACATTTATGATTATTTTATTTATTAATTTCTATTTTTATTTTTGTAGGATATTCATTTATAACATTTCTACAAAAGATATCCATCCTATATTATATACTAAATGTACCGCTCGTTGCATTTTAAAAGTTCATGTCTTAGAATTGAAAAAAATTATAATTATAATGACAATGTCAACTGATGGTATTGTACGTTATTTTAATTTTACTGACATTTTTTTGGAAGCATTTAAAAATATGATCTCAGGTAATTCTAATCTACAAAACATTGACATAATACCTTTCGCAATAATGCAGTTACATCAATCAGGAATAAATAGCTATGATTTGCAAACTATAACTGAAGATAAGTATCTTCTAGTTACCGGAGGCGATGACAATCTCCTCTGTCTTGTTTTATTTCAAATTTGTATTTTAAAAGACGGAACTATTTCTGTAGAAATACTGTCGAAACACAACATTTCGTCTGTACATTACGCACAAATTACAGGTCTGTAAAATGCAATTAGTATAATATTGCATTACATAAGAATATAGTACAATAGTATCATAATTTACTTTATTTACAGGTGTTAAGTTAGCAAATAACAAAATATTCAGTGTTGGTATAGATCAACAAGTTATTATACATACTTACTCCTATAACAATAATAAAATATTAGCCGAATTATTGTCTACTGAATTTACATCTGTATCAGATGTACAAGGAATGGTATTATCAACTTCTATAAAGTAAGATTTATATTTTTAATATTTTTTATAAGTATTTCTAACAAAATTAATAATTTAGTTTTAAAATAATAATATTATTTCAGGTCTAACGATATATTTTTATGTATATATGGAAATGGCTTTGAATTTTTATCTGTTTAAAATGATTCAAAATTTATATACATTTTGCAGTATACATATACCCTAAAAAAAAAAAAAATGTACAATTGTAATATAATATAAATATAAAATTTATTTTTAGATATATAAATTACCTTTTGTACATTCAAATATAATGTTATAAAAATTTCTGAAGAAATATTTAACACAATTGTCAAAAATAGGAAGAATTCTTTTTTTGTATGTAAATTCTTTGTATTTTATATGAAGTGTATACATGAGCGCTTACTTGACATCAAACGTAAGGTTTATGAACTAGCCTTAATGAATTGTTTTGGAACTACTGTCAGATCGTTAATAATTGTAAGATAATTATCATATTCATAAGAAAATATTTATGACTAAGTAAATTTTGGGAAAGTAAAATTTGATAAGAATGTCAAGTATTACAATTTCTGCAGTTCGGCCACGGACAAGTATTCTTGATAGATCATTGAGCAAAGGAAAAGGAGAGGTTAGCTTAAGTTGCTTTGCTCTTTTATTTTCAGAACTTGTACAATATTGTCAAAATCGAGTTTATACTGTACCAGAATTACAAAATAAGTAAGTTATCATTGTATGATTTTTATTTTCTAAGTAAATGTACAATTGAATTATTTGAATTGAAACAATTAGGTTAGCTGAAATAGGTGCCGAGATTGGACACAGAGTTACTGATCTTCTTGTTGTAAGAGAAAAAGGTGGGAAACGTGAAATTAAACTTTTAAATATATTACTGTTCATTAAAAGTACATTGTGGAAGTCATTATTTGGTCGTGAAGCTGATAAGTTAGAACATGCTAACGATGATGAACGGACATATTATATTATTGAAAAAGAAGCTTTGGTAAATAAATTTATCTCTGTTCCAAAAGATAAGGGAAGCTTAAATTGTGCATCTTTTATAGCTGGAATAGTAGAAGCTGTTCTTTGCGATTGTGGTTTTGTAAGTATAATATTAACAAGTATATTATTTTAAATGATATACATAAATAAAGTTACTTATTTTTTTTCATTGCAGCCAGCAAAAGTTACTGCGCATTGGCATAAGGGAACAACTTATATGGTAAAATTTGATGATGCAGTTATAGCGCGTGATAAACAACTTGAAGATCGATAATAAAAAAGATTATTTATACAATTAATTTTATTTTACTGTAATATGATATAATAATTACAGTAAACAGGTAAACATGTAAACATTATAGTTTCAATTATTTCATACGTACAATATTACATTTTTATTTTTATTATAATATTCTTTTCTCTCTCTCTCTCTCTACTGAACTGCATTACCTCAAAAGGCATTTTCTTTATTGGAATTTAAACATTCTATCTTGGTACGATACTTGACCTGTACGATAAAGCTTTTCCTTAGAAGCCTAGAAATAATAAATCAATTTGTGTAAAAAGAAGAAATATGGATTATTAACATTTAATACGTACCCTAGATGATTTTAAAATCATTGCAGTACTCCATATCAAACCTCCTGTCATAGCAACCATTAGGAAGGTATTAAAAAGAGTTGGTTTAAAAATATATTCTAGTTGTACTCTTGTAGCATAAAATCTTTGCCATCCTCTATCTAACTGTAATTTAATATATTTATTTCATAATATTGATCATAAATATAGGTACATTTCATTAAATAAATAATTATTTAATTTTTGTACTAGAAGATTATACTGAACAATCATTATAGAATATTATATAATACTTTTAATATGTTTCAGTAATAATGATAATAATACAAGTATGAAATTAAAAAATATATAAAATATATATATATATAAAATATAAATATATCTTTTCCAATCATCTATTGTAACTAAACGCGTTTTAATAATTATTTAAATACTTTTAAGAGTTGAATATTTTATAGGTTAGGTTAACCCATTGGAATTACGCACAATCGGATCAACTCGTCGAGGATCTTGCAATTCTCTTAAATATTCGTTTCTTAATTCTAAACGTCTGGCATATTTCCATTCTTTAACTTCACGTTCATCTGGAGAAATATCGTACACCTTGTTTCCAGACATGACCTTTTCCCGTGTACTCAATTTTTCGAGGATATATTCAAGTAAAACTTATATATAGTATGGTAACGATATACCCAGGGTTAACGGAGTTAAGATAGATTCGACTTATTGTGAGATATCATTTGTTTTCAAAACATTAAATTCACTAAGTTTAATACAATTATAAAAAAAAATAGTCAAAAAGTAAACATTATTGTTTATACACATATTATATATATTATTTTTATAAAACATTATCTCTTCGTAAATTTATTTGTTTTCCATGATTGTATTTAAATACAAATATAATAAGTTAATATCTTTACGAGGTAAATAATAAAAATATATAAAAAAGAAAAATAATAAATGAGCACATACGTCTGTTTGTTTCAATCATGTGATTTAATTGCGTCAATTTCTAGATGAATATAAAGATGTAAAAGATGAATGTAATTTTTATTCTTAGTAATATTTATTCCCTGATCGATATTACGTCATACAAAAGTACTTAAAATGTTTATTGGAATATTTTTCGATTATTAATATAATTGAAACACAACAAACTATAATAAAATAAACAATAGCATATATTCATATGGATAAATGACAAATCTATGAGAAAATCACAATGCCTATTGGTCATGGTCATGTTAATTAATTAATAAGATAAACAAAATGATTTTAGTTATTTTTGTGTTTCATTTAATAGGATTATGAATCATATATATGTGTTTTATATGTGTATAAAATAAACATGTACATTAATTTTAAAGAAATTTGAACTCTAACATCAAATTGACAATTGAAATATAGACAATTATATATATATATATATATATATATGTTATATGATATTTCAGATTATCTAATCACATGAGGAAAAGCAATGGAAAAAAAAAAATTCTCGAGCTTACATTTCAATAGATATCGTGTAATATAATGCGTAAAAGTGTTTCTAAGCAAAAGATAAAATCATCACATGTACTGTTGAACAAAGTAACATGAGGACAAAAAGCAATGAATCACGTGACGTAGGGGAGGGTTCGATATAATAACGTTGCGCCTTTCTTTTTCTTCATAAGCATTGAAATATTCAACGAGAACGTATCGTTTTAAATTCTTAGTGATTCTTTGTGTTATTGTGGTAAGTTATTTTAATTATATATGTATAGATATATGATACAAGTCATTGTTCAAATGTGAATCATACTAAATGTCCAATTTGACTATATCGTATGACTCATTAATATATTTTATGTGCAAGATAACAAATTACAATATTTTGTTTACGTTATTATTAATTTTATATTTTAACAGATGGCTTTGTCTTTTTATATTAGGATCTGTTGCTTCTCAAGTTGTTTCCTTTTTTTTTGTTTTGTTTGGATTTACATGTAATTGACCGGTAATTTTTTTCTTTGTTCTATCATATCAAATAAATATCGTATTGATGCATATAATTAATATTTAATAATTAAACTTATGATTCATTTTATAATAAATCGCATTATTATATAATTATTAGAGTTTATATTTTTGTGTACTAATTTATTAAAGAAACAAAACAAAATGGATGACGCAAAGCTTTCATATCTTGAATGATATGCAATGTGTTTTGTTTTTTGGGGTTTTTTTTTCTTTTAACTTGAACTCGATAATTCTTACTTAGTTAATTTTATTCGTAAATCGAGTTCATTATTTTAATTTGAAGAATTTTATTTATATCGTTATATAAATCCAGGAAGTAGATGGAAGAATTATGAATAAATCGTTTCTTCGTATGATTTAATGACTACAATCATAATCTACCATTGAACAAGTCAGAATCGTTTTCTCATCATATCAAATCTCTTGTGTATCCTAAATATTATTTAGCTTTATTAAAATTATTTATAATATTAATTATAATTAATTTAACATTTTGTATTTTCAGTTGAATTAATCTACAAACATGAAGATATTACTGATTTTCCTAATTTCGACAGTATTTGCTGCTCAAGCTATCTCATTTTTTGATCTTATCTTAGAAGAATGGACAACGTTTAAGGTAATTATAAACAAATTGAAGTTTATCTTTTTATTGTCTTTATTAACATTTTTTAACATGAAATTTGATCTTCGATAGCTTGAACACAAAAAAAATTATGAAACTAATTCTGAGGAAAAAGTCAGAATGAAAATATTCATGGATAACAAACATAAGATTGCGTTGCACAATCGTAAATTTGAACTTGGTGAAGTTACTTACAAATTAAAAATAAATAAGTTTGGTGATATGGTGAGTAAAGAAAATTGTTCAATTAAAGCATACATTGATATATTACATTTCTAATATTTTTATTTTATAGCTTCATTACGAGTACATGGAATCATTGAATGGTTTTAACAAATCAATAAATCATCAATTAAGAGAACAAAGAAAACCTATTGGTGCTTCATACATTGAACCAGCTAATGTTGAATTACCGCATTTTGTTGATTGGAGAGAAAAAGGTGCAGTTACTCCTGTTAAAGATCAAAAAGCTTGTGGTTCTTGTTGGGCATTTTCATCGGTATTTATTTATATTTTAAACAAATTAACTGATCTTTTTACTATAAATATCACTTCAGATATTTATTAATAATACAATTCTTATAGACAGGAGCATTGGAAGGACAAAATTTTAGAAAAACTGGTAATTTGGTGTCCTTAAGTGAACAGAACTTGATCGATTGTTCTGGAAAATATGGTAATAATGGATGCAGAGGTGGTCTTATGGATCAAGCATTCCAATATATTAAAGATAACCATGGCGTTGATACAGAACAAAGTTATCCTTATGAAGCAGAAAATGATAAGTGCAGGTAAGTAATATATTTTTGTTATTAATGGAACAAATTTTTAGATTAGAATATATGTATTATTTTGATTTATAGGTACAGTCCACGTAACAGTGGTGCCGTCGATGTTGGATATGTTGATATTCCAGAAGGAGACGAACAGAAGTTAAAATCTGCCGTTGCAACTATTGGACCAGTATCCATCGCTATTGACGCTTCTCACCAATCCTTCCAATTTTATTCTGAAGGTTCAGCATGTTTTTATATTTTTTTTATATTTTCTTAGATCCATTTACTATTATAATTTAATATTTTCGGCTTGTTAAATTTAGGAGTTTATTACGAACCTGATTGTTCCGATACACAGTTGGATCATGGAGTACTAATAGTAGGATATGGAACTGATGATGAAGGAGGAGATTATTGGTTAGTGAAAAATAGTTGGGACACAACTTGGGGTGATAAAGGATACATTAAAATGGCAAGAAATAAGAATAATCATTGCGGTGTGGCCTCAAGTGCCAGTTATCCGCTTGTTTAAAAACAAGAAGTACATTATGAAGTTAGTGTTGCTGGGAATCAAGTCTTCATGACAAATGTAAATAACTAAAAACAAAAACTATTGAAACTAAAGCATATAATTTTAGTGTTTAATGTACGTTTGTATTTGGAATTTGCATATTATTACCATTGTTTTTAATTTATATTTGAGCTATCTTTTTTTATATACATGCGAATAAAAAATGTATACTTGAAATTTAATTTTGAAAGGGTTATAATTTTAAGAAGTTTATACTTGGAATTGAAAGTTATAATAAATTATGCATACATATGCTTGCATAAATAATTATTTTTATTGAATTAAAATATGTGTAAACTATATATTTTATATTAATGTATATATGCGTATATGTGTGTTTATTTGTAATGAACATGTAAGCATGTAATGCAATAGAAATAATATTTAGAATAATGGTTTGAAGTTTTGAGCTGTTTTTACACGTAGCCTATTTTTTTTTAGCGTATTTATTTGTTTAAAAGTACAGTTTCGAAATTCGTATCGGTTTGACTATTGTTTTTAATTGCATATTATTGTCATCAGATGGTGCTGGTGTCACTCATTTTTTTTGTCATAGGTCAATTCTTTTCATTCTCGTTGTAAACAAGAAACTAAATGTTTGACGATACACGTTAAAATTTGACGAAGAATCAAAATGTCATGTTTATATCGATAAAAATGAATATGAATGGTCAAGACAGTAAATATAATAATATATAATCTATGTTACTCTATGATATATATTTAAATGTATTCACATTTTATTTTATATATTAAATTGTACCATATGTTTAGTGAATATAACCTATAAAAGGTGGGAGAAAAAGATAGGAGAGAGTCAAATATTTAAATAATTAAATATGTTTATAAATGTGTTAACTTAAATTAAAGAGTGAAGAATATAATCGTGTAATTATTGTAAAATGTTTCTTTGTGTAGACGTAGGAAATGTTATATACAGTTGAAAGGATTTGTTTATGATTGTTTTTGTAAACATCCAACGCAATGGGAGAAATTAATGTATGCTTTCAAATAGACACTGACAATCGTGAACATTTCTCATCTGCAATTGCATTTCAAACTTTTCGAAAGCAAAGAGACACGTTTTATGAAATTTTGAGGATATGGGAGCAAAACCATTTGGTACCAGGATGGGCTTTCCAGGTAGCTTTGGTAGGAAAGATTCGATCTGTGCTCACCCAGCATAGTGATGCTACGAATTATTCTCACTTTGCAAGATTATTTAAATCTCAACTTCTCATATCTTGTATACAAAAAGGTCAACAAGTAAGTTAATTATATACTTTAAATTATTATAATTTATGTATATTGTAAACAACAAACTTTTTGTTTTCAGGAAGAAATTGTTGACGACGATAATATTCTTAAAACATTAAAACACATTGATCCACAAAAATTGACACAGCTTAGAAAAAGATTGGTTACTCCTTTATCATCTCAGAATGATGTTCGCGTTCCATCTTTTCCTGGTACTCAAGAATTTTTTAGAGATTTTATATTGTATGCATTTAATCCAATATTTTATACACATTTAGAAAATTGTTTAGTACATGAAATTATAGAGTTAAACAAGACTCAGTTTACTAGCAGCGAAATAGAAGATTCAGGTATTTTTTATGCATAAATTAATAAATTAATATAAATTACTATCTCTCTCTCTCTCTCTCTCTTTCTCTCTATATATTAATAATAAATATTAATAGAAATAAATTCGATACCTTTTAAAAACAAATTTATTATTTATTTATGGTACCGAATTAATTTCTATTCCTTTTTATTTGTATTTTAGAAACTATAGTGGATGAGCAAACAAAACATACTTTTATCACTTGTCTAACAAGTTTAAGACTACTTGCTAAAATGTTGGGATTACTTATATCTTTACCTTATAAATTAGAATCATGCACTAATAAAGAAATAATAACAGCACAAATTGAAATTAGAAATAGTGTAAGTAATAAATTAAATATTAATTAATTATAAGTATAAATATATGAAATATTACAAAAATTTAATATCCGTAGGTTGTACCATCGTTAAATTTACAATCTTGTCTTCACAATGCAATTATGGAAGGAAAAATGTCTTTGAGTATTCCTTGGATAGTAAAGTACCTAGCAATGATGGATATAGTGTCTCTTCGATTAACGTATTACAAACCAGTCTTAGAATTACTGTATTATATCTACAGGAGCATCAATACTTATGATTTTGCTTCTTCTGACAGTGTTATGTCTCAAAAAACAGCAATTTTACTTAAATCTACGTTGAAATGGTTTTTCGAGTTACCAAATTTTCCTAAAGATTTTTGTTCTACTTGGCAAGAAATATATGAAACGAAAGAATTAAAAACACAGCGGCGATTTGATAAAATGTTAGCACAAACGTATGAAATATCGTCTGTGGAATCTGTTGATTCTGTTACACCTGATAAATATTGTTTAGATAAATTAGATATAATAGATGATGGGGTTCTTGGTAAATGTTGTCCTATAATTGACTTAAAACTACAAACTGTGTCAAAAAAAAATGTAAAACATAATGCGCGAGGTCCAAACAAACATATAACACCAATATCTAGTCAACTTCAAAAATTTGGGGCCAATAGTAGGAGACATTTAGAGGTAATTCAGATTATATATTATAACTTTGGTATTATTATTACAATTTTCAATACAGTTGCAGTTAGAAGAAGCTTTTTTCCACGGCCAACCAACTTCAACTCGGAAAACAGTTGATTTTGTCTTCGAAAGAGTTGCGTCAACTTGTGTTAAACATATTTGTAATACTTTACTGGCATCCGCGAGAGAAACGAATTTAGATGTTTTTAGAGAAATTATGAAAAAAAAGTACAAAGGAAAACATAAAGAAACGCATCCTATAACAAACGGTAATAATAATACAGAGATTAACGAATTAAAGGTGAATTTTTTTTTGTTTTCTTTACTTCGCATGATTTAAATCGTATTGTTATATAATTTTTTGTTTTAAATCATTTTTCTACTCTCTATTTTAGTCGTTATTGACAAAGGAAATGTCTATGTTGGCTAGTACTGCTTCAAAAGATTTGAAAGAACAGTGTGATAGAATTATTCCACAATTCTGCGAAAGTCGAATTGTGAAATCTATTGAATCACTTTTAGCAGAAGATTCTTTAGTGCCTGTTAAAGAAATGTGTATAAAAATAGCTTACAGAGTAGCAATGGAACGTATAAATCAATGGATACAGTCTCACATTGTTGGTGGTTCATTGTTTCATAAAGACATGGATTTAGAAATTAATAGGTTTATTAGAAATAATAATACTTTATCTGTAACCCAAGAAAAAGTCCATAATCCAGCTGCACCCAATCCGAGCGATGTTATACATGAACTTAGAGTATGTTTTGTTTATATTTCTTTTTCTTTTTTTAATAGTTTAATATGCAAATGAGTAAATTAACAATGTTTTATTTCTTTTTTCAGTTACAAATATGGGACATTATGGATAATAATCGGAAAAATGTAACTCTAACTTCTGTGACAACAATATTGAATAAAATGTATCAAATTTTGAATGAAAGAGCTGATCTGGTTCTAGGACCGGAAAAAATCTTGTATTTATTGAGCGTTGATTTTTCCTTGTTTTTAAGTAAGATTAAATTGATTAATAATGTTAAAAGTATAATGTAATGTTCTTTAATATGTTATGTTTATTTTTAGTTGCACATAGAATGGATCTATTTACACGGGATATTCAAGACCTGATAATTAAGATATGGACTATAGATAATTTTAAGATATTTGAAGCGGATACTCCTATGTTAAGATTGTTGAGCCCAAGAAACGTTATGTTACTTGCACAACCTGAAACTGATGGAACATGGTTGATGTATGGACAATTTTTAAGAAGATTATTGGAGGAAAGTGTCCTTGATATTGAATTTTTGAGCGATCAGTACGTGGCATTATTTAGGCACGATTGGCCTGTAGTAAGTTTAACAATTTTCTACATGAATTTTATTTTAAATTCTTCCTATTTAATTATATAATATCATGTTTTTGTGTTACAGCCTATATTAAAACATTTATCAAAGTGCCTTTACGAAAGTATTGCGGGTTATAAGTCGACTGATGAGAAAACAGAAAAAATTAGATATTTGCTCGGGTGGATAGCAGAGACCTGTCGTGAAATAGAAATTGGAGATGATTTCTTATAGTTTAATTTTTTTTCAATATATATATATATATATTCTATTGATATATTTTAAATTCTTAGCCTGTTAAAAAAGAAGTTCTGTAAATTATAGGAATTTTATAAATGTACATTGTTTATTGTCATGACAACAGGAAGAAAATTATGTTTCTACTGTTTATTCTTATTTTCATGAGAGGAATACTTCTCATTTTGTATCTATACTTGTAAACAAATTTACGAAGTATGTTGTAAATCAATTTATTTGGAAATTCATTCTATTTGAAATGGGGCTGTATATTATTGCACCATTATCTATTTTATAAGAAAAACTGTGCTACGTATTTTAAAATAAAAATGTTATATTTTTCTTTTACGTCATCTCGTATTTTATTCTATTGTAAATTTGCACGAATTGCAAATAATAAGACTGATGACAAAATCGAAAATATTATGAAAATAGTATTGTTAGTAAATTGTAAAAATTTGTTGAGAAATAATAGGAAAATGATTAATCAAAAAGAGAAAGAAATCAAAAATAGTTTGAATTCACTAATATATTTCAAAATTTTGGCGGGATGATGAAGACTAAATACAGACTGTAGATAGCGCCACTATCGCGGACAGTCCCACCCCCTCGAATTAAAAAATATAAATAAAACTTCTAAAGTAGATATTTTTTTGTTTTCAAATGAAGTTTATTATCTTATCATATATAATTTCAATTATAAAAATATTCACTTATAATATAATGCGCATTTTAAAGAGCAAAAAGGATTGCGTCACAACTGCCGTCTGGTGGATATAAATAAACTATAATCAGTACATTTTTTTTCAGTATGCCAAATATCAGAAACCACCCCTATTTCGATTCCGGGGTGCATTATTGGCGGTAACCGGCTCGAACGTGATTGGTTGGAACATGCACGCCATGTCAGTACGGTGAGCAAAGTAGGAACAAAAAGTGGCGGTCAGTCGTGAACCGCGCGTCGTACGGATCGGAACTAGACACAGTTAACTCTTAATTAATTTACTATAATATCATCTTCGATTAATAATACAAAATCATTGACATATTAGATCAAAATAAAAATAACGATACGGGACTCGTATACGATAAATACGATCAAATAATTCATAAAAATGACATTTATCAAGACATTTTGTGACAAATAGAATAGCAATAGAATTTGAATGTGTTCGATAGAAACAATTGAATTGGGGTGCATTTTTATTACTTTTCATTTACACGAAAGGGTGATTGTTCGTAATATATATTTTTTTTTTTTAACAAGAGGATAGATATACGCGTTTGAAGAAGGTTCAATATGATGTGCGCGCAATAAACTCAAGCGGTTCAACAACACGTGCTCGCACGTACACGTGGACTTATCGAAATGTGAGAGAAAAGGGGATAAGAGGAATTTGATTGTTGTTGGGTGCTGTCGATGCAACGTCAAACATTTGTGATTATCGTTAGGTAAGCGAGAGAGAAAAAAAAATGATTAAACATAAAACGAGACGAAAGTCCAAGTCCCTATGTATTCCCTTTAATTGGGAATATAGTGGGATAGTAAAAAAAAAAAATAAAAAAAGCTAGAACAAAAATCAATCCGATGCGTTTGATATCGAAATAACATGGCAGTACTTTCGTATTGATTTATATTTTTATTTTCTTTTTTCTTTTTTATTAATTCCCTTGCACTCGAAAAAAAAAAAGAAAAGATTTTTTTTATTTAAATTATACGATTATTATAGATAGACAATTGTTTCTTAGAAAAATTTAATTGCATAAATTTATTAAAATTTTGCTTTTGATTATTATTTTACGAATTTTTTTAAATATGATTTATATTTAAATAAAAATAATGGCGCCGTATCGAAGTCCTCAAATTTATAGATAAATTTCAAATGGCATCATTTCAGAAATAGGAAACACTCCTGCGAATGTTTCAATATCCTTCGACTTTACGTACCAAATCTAAATTTGAAGTTTTATTATTTTTTTTGTTTGCATTGACGAATGTTTCGTTTTAATATTTATTGGAGGAAAGTATTATTTCGTAGGGAAAGTTTAAGGATTTAAACGAGTACATATTTACTTACTTAAGTAAGTAAGTTTATACTAAGTAAACTGGTTGATGATATAATTTAATGTAACTTACTTGAATGATGTTCGGAGGAAGCTTTTTATTTCCTTTCAAACAAGCTTCAGAGACGAGTTTAACGAGCTTGAAAAAAGAAAAAAAAAAAAAAACAATTTTCAAATCGATTTTAATGTTTGCCGATTGATTGAAGTTTTGCATTAGGTGAATGAAAGGGAAAAATAAAAAAAAAAACAAAAGAAGGGGGTAGAAAAGGCGGGAAAAGGAAAAAGGAAGAGTGCATCGTTCCGAACTGCGCGTTCTCGTGAATTGAACTGGAAGCCAAACACTGTTAGGGTTACAAAAGTGTAAACGATTATCGAATTGGTGTGTGACGAAAAAAAAGAATAACGTTAAAGCGAGTGTTAGGGTTACGTACATATACATACATACACGTACACGTACACGTATGTATTTAAGTATGCAAATGAAAGTGTAAATGTCCTGAAAGAAACGACCCTTATCGTTCAAATGCCTTTTTTCTCTCCCTTTTGCAGATTTTCGAAGCTGCTTATCTAAGATTTCATTCGGTTATCACATCTTATCATTTAATAACATTTCTCTTATCTTCAAAATATAAAAATAATAGAAATATAATTACATTTGATATAAGCAAACAAATATATAATATTATTTTGATCTAAGCACGCAAAGAAAAATGTTGCGTGTAGATACGGTTGTGGTTGTAGTTTAGAAAAGTTCTTTTTTTCTTGTTTTTTTTGAGTATATAAAAATGTCTCTCGTGTCTCGTAAATATATTTGTTTCTTTTAACTTTGTTATATATATATATATAGTTGTTGGTATTTATGGGATTCTTTGTTAAAAAAATATAACAGAAATAATATAAAATATAATATATAAATATAAAATAATATAAAAAAATATAACAGTATAATATGTTTTCCATTCATTTTTCTATTCAACTTTTAATTTTTTTTTTCCCCGAAAATATATAATTTTCTTTTATCTCGGACAGTATTCTTTAGTAGAATTTTATTACGAGAGAGAGAGTCATTCAATTTTAGATTTCGTTTATACGCATTGGTTTTGCGTGTCGTCGTAGTCATAGTTTTCGGATTTTGGCATCGAATCAACTTATTTCTTAGTGAACAATTTCTAAAGGAATGCTTATATTTCGAAAATTGCAATCAAATCTGTATGTTCCGTACCTCGTTTGACATTTTTTTTGTTTTCGTGTGCTTTCACATTTGCAAAACATTAAGTTTGAAAATAAGTTTCATCGTACGTTTCGTGTTGTTTCACGTGATATTATTTGTCTCACGTATTTAATTTGCATCACGTATAAAATCGAGAAAGTTATGACACGTTTTTATTCTTTACATTGGAAGGAAAATATCTTTTCAAGATAAAGAAAAATAGAAATAGAGAATTACGAAATGAATAATATTTTTCGAAATATCAACTTTCTCAAAGAATCATATATGCAGTATGATTCCTGATGATAAAACTTCCAACCAACCAACGAACCAACCAACCAACCAAACCATATCACAAGTTTTAAAAAGCTTGACAACATTTTTCTCAATCGTTTTATGCAACCAAATCCGAATATATATTTTTTGTAACACGTATATAAAATATCATTACGATAATAATTCCAACGAGTTATATGGTACTTAACAAAAGTTATCGCTACTCTCCTGTGATAATATAAACTTAAACAAGAGTTTACATGACTTTTTTTTGTACAACACTTCGAAGTAATACAAAATAACGTTTGACAATGTATTTTCGTGTTTCCTTTTTAAAGTATTTCCTACATACACATTGCATACATTTTTATGCAATTGTAACAATCGTGTAAATGAACTTTAACAACAATGTAAGATTTGATTGTTAAAATGAATGAATAACTGTCGTGCCAATGTATTAATATGTTTAAATTATTCTTTTATAATTATTTAATTAAAGTGTTCCATTTTTCTTTTTTTTTTTTTAAAAAGAATCTCTTTAAAAGAAATTAATAACGCACAGAACGTGACGTAAAAAATATATATGTGTTTCGAAATATATATGTAATGTTATTTTGAAAGAATTTATATTATATAACTTATAAATCGTTCTAAATGATTATTTTCAACATACAAATGTTATTGCATTATTTTCTCACGAACTCGCGAATGTAAGGTTGGTTTCTCTAGGCAAATTACTTCGAAGAGAAAATCCCTTACAAATTAATTACTTTCCTCACTTTGCCAAGGTAATGTAAGTGTTATCACTTGGTAACTTATTACAAATTTAACGTGGCCCAACATATTAAAGTTCAAAATTACTTTTTTAATACTTGTATCTTAACTCACTCATATATATATATATTTTCGTTTGTTAAGTAATAATATAATTATTAAAAAAAAAAAACTAAAAAAATTTGAGTTATTGATTGAATTGAAGCTTTTCTTTTTAGAATTGTATTTCAACGTGGTTTTCATAGGGGTTTAATGGAACCACGATTTGAACTTAACTCGTTTGTCGTTTACCATCTTAAAAGCGGAACTATTCGTCGAACGATTGACCGAGAAAGTGAAAAAGAAAAAGAGAGAGAATGAAAATGAGAGATATAGATAGAATGAAAATAAAAGAAATAAAGCTGAAGAGTGGATTCTAAATGGACGAATAAGGTCGTGCTTGATATCGATCGTAAGCATCGTAGGGTGCTAAGATACTCTTTGATCAATTAATGTTCCGATAGTATAGCAATGAATAGAAACTTTAATCTTTCTTTTAGTTATCTAATAGTATTACATTTTTTTATCTAAGAATTATAACTAAACATTTTTCATTATAATATAACATTTTTTATTATATATATTTGTTTTTTTTTCAATTATGAAACATTTTAAATTATGTTTAATAGATTTCGGTTCGTTCAAATTTGATAACGAATCTGGTTGTTAATATTGAAAGTAGCCTAACTCCATTCTTGGTAATAAAACGCATATTATTCATTTAATAATTGTCATTGTTTTAATAGGAACTGTAAATTGAAGACCTTTAGATACACTTAAGCAGCATAACTCATTGGTATTCTGTACGTAATATATTTTTAAATTCATTGAAACGTAAAACTTTAAATAGGCCATTTTCAAAATAAACGGTTCATATGCTTTCTTACATTTTCTTGTTATTTTTGTTGAAATAACTGGTATCTATCTCATCAGTTAAAATAAGTAGCGTTAGAAAATCATAGAAAATATTGTTAGTAAAAGCAAAGTAAAGTAAAGTAAAGTAAAGTAATAGAGAAATGTTAGTACGTGTATTTTAGTTTCTAACAGAAGTTTTAGCAAGCAAGCTCGCTTGTTGATGCTCGTAAATTTCGATTAGCGGTAAAAGCAATTAGGTCGTCGGTACCATCTTTTCCTTGGTATACGATGATGTCTATAGAAAATGTAACGCAATAGTATTCGTTATTTTATCATATTTTCAGCTACGTCAGCGTTAGATTTCTACGAGAAAAATTGGAAGTAAAGGAAGCGTTATATATATATCGATTTCCTTCCCTTTTTCAAATACATGTCTATATGTATGATATATATATATATAATACTTATTTATATATAACATAGTTTTATGTATACTTATACTTATTTATTTCTAATCTATAGTAAAATATATCTATATCGAACATATCAATTTTTTTTTTCAATCGAATAACTACTTATGATTCTAATAATTATTCTATTCGATCAGAAATTTGTTTCAGATTTAATTAATCTAATTTCAAGTAACATACAGTTATCTATATTTATTAGATTTTTTTCAGAAGACTCGTGTGTACATTAAAAGAAAGAATGCAAGAGTAAAATACATTTCTTTGACTGTTATTCTTCAATATCTTAATGGAAAGAAAAGATTGGTTGTTTTCATATATTATTTCAATACAATATTACAAACGTTTGTTCTTTTTTTAATAGTAATATTAAATTTCTTGATCGTTGCAAATGAAAATCGAGAAACGTTGTATCAGAAAACTCATTAAAAGTATTTTATTCAGTATCAATTAACCATAAAGGAAAATATTCATTTCAGAGAGATAAATATTGAGATAGAAAGGTAGGATCTTTCCCTTTCCCTTTCCCTTTACCCTCGAATATCAAATGTTACCTAACCACATTTGATTAACCATTAATTTCTACCGCTTCATTCCGTTTCATTTGATATTTTCGTTCAGTAAAATGATGCTGCTGCTCTTGACCGCAAACGATAAAGTTCAATGGGGTGGGTGGTGGGATCAAGTTGTTGAAATATTGAAGGAATAATTTAACCTTCCTTCTTGACAATTTTCTTTACCAATTTCTTTTTTTTTTTTAAATTGAAGCAGAGGAAGAAAGAAAGAATGAAAGAAAGAGGGATTACGTTGACGGTTGTTTTGTTAGCTTCTGGAACAAAAAAAAGGAAAAAAATTAAAAATAAGAAATGAAAAAGAAAAGTTTTAATTGAGTTGACCGATTTGAAGTATCGCAGGAATGCCAGAGGGTCTTTTCCAAGTCCGCGGAATGGTTCAGTAACTTTAGTAGTAGAACAAAAAAAATCTTGTTTCTGTTATATGAATACGATAATTTTGTTGTTGGTTGTTTTTTAAACTAATATTGAAGTACCTGAGTTCTAAGTGATATTACTTAGTGATTTTGTTTTTCTTTTTCTTTTAACTTCAGATGGGGTAAAGTATCGTTAATCAAACACGATGACGTTTTATTACATTTCAGAAGAATTTAAAAAAGAAAAATTGGCATTAACGATATATCTTATGTTTTCTATTTAATATCTGCTTCTTTATCTTACGATATTATATTAACAACATAGTTTCAATGCGAATAATCAAGCAGTATACATATAACAACATGTTAACTCAATAATACAATCATTTCCCAACGTTCTATGTCTCAATTCTCATGTTAATTCCCAAGTGTTTAATCTCGCATGACTTATTGTTTAATTGCAATGCAATGATTCGTTTAAAAGATAGTTAGATATTATTATCTTTGCAGAAAAAATGCGAGTTAATTATCTATATTTCTATTTATATCATTTTCACATACATTTGACGACATATTATACGTTTGAAATTATTAAATATTAAGATTATCTTAAATAGAATTAAAATGATAAATGTGAAATAATTTTTTCAATGAAATATTATTCCCTTTTTTTTTTTTTCAGTGATACAAGAACAAACAAACAAACAATCAAACAAGTGGAGAGGGATACAAAATGGAGAATCTTTATACCGGTGCAATTCATGGATTTCATCAACCCAATGGTGGTATGATAGCAAATGGTTTTTCTACGGGAATTGCCAGTTCCTTCGATCAGGATGGTGTTTTGAGTCTAATCGTCGTTCTAGGAGGAAGTCTTTCTTTGGTTGCACTCGTTTTTGCATTCATAACTTATAGGTAAGCATTGTTTTGAATACTTTTCATTCAATTATTATTACTATGTAAATGAATCTATATAAAAAATTGTTAATTAAATCGAACACAATTAATGAACTAGTTAATTCTACATTTGTTTTTATCTTTAAATCATATATATCTCGAACAATTAGAAAATTAAGATAATATTCTTCGTTAAAAATGTTTTATGAAACATATTTGGATTCTACGATTAAAAATATACTTGAKTGATTAATATGATAGAATAAATGAAAATGATTTACGTTATAGTTACACGTGTTCTTTGAAGTTTTTTT